TGGGGCGGGAACTGGGAGGAGGGGAGTTATGGGGGGAAAAAAGAGGAACAAATGTAATAATCTGAACAATAAAGATTTAATTGAAAGAAAAAAGAGGAAAAGGCAGGTTCTCATACTCAAAGGTTGAAAAGGGAAACAGAAGGTTAGAGTGATGACAAACTTTTCCTTTATCATGTATTTTCAAGCTTAAATTTGTAATTTCAGCAGCAATAAATTGACATATCGAAGTATGTTCTTTGCTTGGCTGCTTGTGTTCCGAGGATGGTAAAGTCTGGGCTTTGGAAGGCACAGCTCAAGGTAAATTCTGAAATGCAACATTGGGTGGACTCCCCAGAAATTCTGGGAAACAACGCATTCCTGGGGAGTGGGGTGAGGGGTTAACTCAAGAAACACTCCCCTTTAACCTTTCATTAACTCAGAGCTGGCACTGGCTGTGGACTGTGGATGGTCATGAAGGCTCTTCGTACTCTGACTAGTGTTTCTTACTAGTGTTCAAAGCATTAGATCTTAGGATAGTCAAAATCATGGAAGGATGATTTTAATGAAATACGTCAATGTTTTGGCATCTATCAACTTCTCATATTTGCCTCCTATGTTTCTCCATTCATGCTGAGAACTGAGAATAAAATTACAATTTTTCTGTCATGCTTAGAGGCACATGGGTGTGGCAGTTTTGCAATAGGGATTGTCTTCTTTGGCTATAACGGATCACCAGGCAGCTGGCTGTGCTGGTCTCAATCTGGTGCCATGGGTTGCTGAATGAGTGCTGGTCTATGTGGCAGAAGACCAGCATGCTGGCTGTAGTCATGAGATCTTGAATGGGGACTAAACCTGAAAAGAGGAGGACTCTGAAAGGCCACCTTATTGGTTCCTTCTAGTTATCGTCTTGTTATTTTGACATGGATTCCAATATGAGTTTGGGCCCCACCTCACATAAAAATCTTAAAGACGAAGCTCATTTTCACTCAGAACTGGAACTCTGTGGGGACCAAAATGCATTCCTCTTACTTCAAATTTAAGGTGAAAAGGAGCAGAAGGGTTTATTTTAAGCTTTTACTCTTCTGATTTCACACTTTGGAAAACAAATGTAAAAATGATGGCTTTAGTCTCATTATAACAATAACGCTCCCAAGTGGCTAGATTCTCAATGGCTTCCCGTTTATTTTTGAAAGCTACTGTGGGATGGCTTCTAAAAAGAACACCTGAATGAATAAATGTAAGAAAAATCCTTAAAGTATCAAAACTTATGCTGTATCAGATGAGCAAATAATTCAATCTCCCTTTCTATGGATGAGCTTTACATTATAAGGAGACAAAATCTAGAAGAACAATCTATAAAGAAATGTAATTTAAAACATTATTGCCTTCCAGCATTTCCTGCCATCCACGTCTCAGTGCATAAGATTAACGATAAACTGGCTATGGGCTTGCATCTTTAAAAATTATTAGGACCCAGGAATGAAGGTGAACACTGAAAAAGGGTGAGGGAGAATGAGGCAAGACCTTCGGCTGAAGTAAGCCCACACTGATAAAGGAAGGGAGAAGGGGTGGATGTGATGATTGCAATTCATTTAACATTTTATCTGGTTTATAGAGATAAATACAAATAAGCAACCTTGGGGGAAAGATTTATTTCTAAAGTCAAAAGAGAACTATAGCAAAGAAGGAAAGTAGAAGAAAGATCTTTAGAGTAAGTCAGTAATGTGGTGGCCACTTTAGGACCTGATGATACTGGGAAGTGCTTCAAGTTACCAATGCCCTGAGAAACATCCTTTATAGGGGAGAAACGCAATATACTGATAGATTATAAGTGTACGCAAAGCATTATGCTAAGCAAAATAAGCCAGTCAGAGAAGGATAAGTATCACATGATCTCACTCATTTGTGGAATATAATGAACAATGTAAACCGATGAACAAAAATAGATCCAGAGACATAGAAACATTGAACAGGCCCTCAAACCTCAGAGGGAAGGCAGGGTAGAGGAAGGGGTTAAGAGATCAGCCAATGGACACAGACACTAGGGGGGTCAGGGCATGTGCTGAGGATGTGGGAGTGGCCAGGAAACGGTCAATGGGGGAAAAAGGGAGACATGTAATACTTTCAACAATAAAGAATTTAAATTAAAAAAATAATAAAAAGAGTGGGCTAGTATATAGCTCCCTGGTCCTCTTGAAAACAACCCAAAATATCATGCCAGCTCATATTCAGCAGTAGTCCCCATCATCAAAGGACAGCATTTAAAAAAAAATTTGAGATTTAAGAACACTTTTTTTTACTAGGAATTATTTTTGTTTGTAGTTTTTGAAACATTTACCTATAAACTGTCAATAATAAAATTTATTATTTTGTTAAGCTGAAGTTTACAGAGATATTTAATTGCACATGAATTTATCATTGGCACATTCTCTATAGGCATGAGGAGACAATATTTTACATTTTTCTTTTCCCACACATAGATAACTTATAATTCAATACTTGGCCTGATATTTCTGCAGGGAAGTTAGTTTAAAAATCACACCATAATTTGAATTGAATACATCACCCTAGTAATCCACAGCTGGCTCTTTGTAACTCGGTCACTATGAACATACATATAAAGCTTTCATAATCAGTCTCCCAAATGTAATATAAAATTACTGTGATATATGGCAAGCTGAAATCAAAGTTAATTTTGGATGCTCTTGAATCCATAATTTAAAAGAAAATCTACTAGTCTCTTTTTAATTTATATTATTTTTTTCAAGCTGACGAGGACACACTGACCTAGAAATAGGTTTATCAGGTATTCTTAAATAGTTCATTAGGACCGTTGAAAAACTGAAATAGTGAGTGATGGTGATTCTCCATTGCTTGACCAAACACCCTGTAGAGATTTTTGTCTTGTATTATAAACCTCACAATAATCCATGAGACTCAAATGATGAGAGCCCAAGACACAAAGGAGGACTTTTCAATAGTTTTCACCATCAATTTGAAAAGGACTTTCTTTTTTCTTTTCTATTCATTGGCTCCTTCATTCATTTATTCACTCACTCAACACACTTATTGAGTACTTGAGGTATAATATCAGGTGCTACAGAATATGATGGTAAGAATAATCTTGGTCTATAACATTATTTCTTTCCCCATAATCATTTTGCTCTAATGTGCCCTCCTCTTTTCATGCCTTGATCCTTCAAAATTTTCCTATTAATGTTTCTGATCCAAATCCCACCCTCTACAAATTATATTATACTGGTTTATAGAAAAGCATTCCTTGTTTATGAGTACTCTGTTGTCTATATTGATACCACTACCACCACCACCAATAATAATAATAATAATAATAATAATAATAATAAATAGATACTATTTTATGAGCCATTCACTTTGTACACATTACTATTTCATTTAATCCTCAGTGTAATGATGAAAGGCAAAAATAATATTTTTATTTCATTCTGAACCAGTTTCTTTCTAATGGGGTATATGTGCCTTTTAGGCACTGCAAAGCTTCTTCAAATCCTTGGATTGGATTGGACGCTGTTACTCTCTTTTCCTGTTCCACAAGGATGTCTGCAGAGTACTTGTTATTTTTCAGGCAAAGATACGGGATCTTGAAAAGAAATTTAGTGTGCGCTAATGCTAAAACTGTGTACTGTCTTGAGCTAACAGACCATGTAGTATTGGACAGATGGAGAATTGCTGCATTTCCTTTGAGTATTTCAAATACTCTGCCTCAGCCCTGGGAGTGTGCCATGGCACCTCAAGACATTTCTTGCACAATTTGGAACTTTGGCCCTAAGTAGAAACAACCCCAGTTCCACTTTGCCTTTCTGTACTGCTCATTTGGTACTGAGCACACTGTATTTTGTATCTGAATTAATTGCATGCACAGGTCTCACGTCCACTACTAGGTCACCTGCTCTGTGAAGCTCAGAGATCATTCCTGGCACACACCTGTCACAGAAGCGAACACGTTTTGTACTACACGGAAAATGCTCAACAGTAATTTGTGGAATGTGTGGATTAAAAAAAGTTACACTACGTACTTATGTAATTTCTCCCAAGTCATTTGAAATGCCTTTCATATTTTCCCATTAAAATGCAAACATATTTTTTTAAACAGTGTACAGTCGATGTGTTGCTGACTAGTGGGTGGAATGGAGAAAACCAATCTTTGAATAAGTAAGGGATGATTTTGAAGGGGGCATAACCTTTCTTACTGCTTGTAGTTTGCTTACACTTCTTTAGAGTAGCATGTCTTCAAGTTACTGTGTTCAAATGTATTAAATTCTGAATTACAGAAAAAACAATTTTGAATAATACTATAGTTCTGGGTATTGTTTCTCTATGCCACTCATACTATATAGTAATTATGCCATTATGACAACATTGTAAATAGAGTAAACATAGAGTAAAGTGCAGAAATTACACTTTGAAAGGAAGTACTTGATAATAAATTATAGTATGTTTTCCTAATATCTGAATATTAGGTATTAAAAAGCTATCTGAGGAAGTATGAAATGGTTCCTGTGTGTGTGTGTGTGTGTGTGTGTGTGTGTGTGTGTGTGTGTTCATTTTCTTTCTTTTCTGTTTCTCCTTTTTCTTTTTAAAAGCTGAGAGCTGGACTCTAACATTCTTTTCTGCCTTAAAAAGTAAATATGCTTCTAATTAGTCAATCAGATTTAGGTCCCATATCATTCAAGAAAATCAATAGCAAACTATTTGTGTTTTCTTTCAATGAATTAAACTGCTGACAGGTACTGAGCCATTTGTCTATTAAAATTAAAGTGGTAAAACTAAATAGGGAGATGAGATAGAGAATACAACCAATTTGGGGTGCCATAGGGCTAGTTCCCATGGTTATTCTCTTTTTTGTGTCTTTCCCCTGAATGATTAAAGTTTCCATCCTAGCATTCCTGAAAGAGGATCAGTGCTGTAAATTAATTCACTTTCAGACTAAACAGACTTCAAAGCACAAACCAGCTCTGGTGACGTGGAGAGCCCTTAGTTACCTGCTGTTTCTCTGTCTGCTGAGGTCAGCTCTCCGTTGATCCCATTCTCTTTGGTATTTGAGTAAGTGCTCTGTGACCCATGTTCTCCAAAGGTGCCCTCTTCGTCCTCCCTGAATGGGAATCCATTGGCACTTCTGACAAATCCTTCCCCTGCCCCACCTTGATCCTTAATCTCAGGTGAATGTGGGTGTGCAGAAGCCTCCGTTAGCTGAGCTGAGGTCCAGTGAGGTGCCTTTGCGTCATCTTTCCGATCATCTGCCATTCTTCAACACCTGTCACCTCTCCTGTGATTGGAAGTGAACAAACAGTAGCCATGACTTTGGGGGAATCTAGTCTAATATTAATAGTACCAAGATAGAGCAAATTTGTAGTAGTTAGCTATGGTAAACACAAAAATGCCCTTTCAATAATCTACTTTTAATATTAAGAGGTAGCCATTAGTAACACTTTGGTTCTGTTTTTTACAAACCTTTTTTTTTGCATATCTATCCTTTTAATATAAGACCTCCATCAATCTATATACACTTTTTTAAAAAATAGTGTTTGGCATTTAAGGACATATCTTAGTTAGCTTTCATTGACATAAGGTGTTAACTGTTCAGTAGAGCCAAGGAATCCTGCACTATGAGAACATTGTCTAATGTTTTTTCATGTTTAGTCTTCAATGATTTGTTTTGGGATT